GTTCGAGTTTCGACTAGGCGCTGTCGGTTGAGTAATTTGTGATGTCATTTTCTCAATGCTCCCCTCGCTCTCGTTCCTGACACTAGATGGCGCTAGTGTATCGTTGACTGGAGCGCGTAACAATAAGTAAAAATTTAAGAAAAATTAAGTATGATCAAAAATGTAATAAAGTACAATATAAGCCAGGAGATTTAATCTTAATAAAAAACCAAACAGGTAACAAATTAGATTGTTTGTATGAAGGACCTTATAAAGTTTTGGAAGAATTACCACCTAATGTAAAATTTCTAAAAAATAACAAAGAAATTATTTTACATAAAAATAACACAAAGCCATTTCAATTGTAATGTTTATCTTTGTAATCAAAAAAAAATGTTTGCTTTTCAGATAAGTACCTATACATTCATTATGTTATTAGTCTTAAGTTATATGTACACTAATCATTTTTTTTTCCTAAAGAGGGTAGTGAGGTACCCCTTACTTTTCGGGGGAGATGTAGTGCATTACCTAGAAGTTTTATATTTCATGCGCGAGTCCCGTGTGACTCTGCTGCGCAAGCGCGTTTAGCATAACTTAGATTTTATAAGAAATGATTGTATTTGGGACTCAATAAACGACCGACGTACGGTGAAGACGTATCTTTTCTTTACCCACCCGTACCATGCCTCACACTCAAATATGTATATGAGTGAGAATGCACTCATTTCTACAGATTTCTATGGCTTTATGTATGTAGTATGGCTTTAACGATCATAAAACGTCTTCTTGGCTATCCCTGTATTAGTACATGTGGGTGATAGTCAAATTTAAAAATACATACCAGTTTTTTTGTATCTCTTGGTAGTTTTTCTCACATTTACAATACTTAATATCATAAAATTTAAACGCGCGCCCTTTCTATTGTGTTTTAATAGATTTTAGCACAGAATATCATCGTGTCATAGCGGCTTAATGTGATGTGTTTCATACGGTGAGTGTAAAGAACCGGAGACCGATTTAACTGGTAACAGGACCATGCATTCTAGTCCTTCAACGCACAGCCTTTTTTTTACATGGGGAAATGCCTACGCATAACCACCTCGGGGGGGGCAAGGACGGGTTATGTCGGACTCGCACCGACTAAAACCCCATGGTGATCCACCTTCGTCGCATATTGGCAGTGCTACGGGAACGCTTTCGCACACTTCCGCGGCGCTACCAAGGACTGCCGCCCCATGGCAGCACCTCCTCGGGAGAAGAATATTCCTCCCCGTTCACCTTCCCAAGTAAGGCGCACCAGAACACATGGCACGCCTTCCTCCACGGCCACCAATTGCATCTGCGCAACAGACGCCCCCCGCGTCCGATGCGCGAAGGCCATGGGGCCAGGAAAAACGAGCACTTAGAAGCACTAGCCTTCCCGACCCCAGCGGCGGATCTGGTCTACGGCTCCGCCGCCAACCAAGATTCGGCTGCGGAGGATAGGGAGAGTGGCGCCTCGCAATACCGACAATCTTCTCCCCCCGCAGCCCCATCACCACCGCATCAACGGTGCGGCCCCGTTTGAGTCGCAGAGGATAGGGCGAGTGGCGCATCGCCATACCAACACTCCTCTTCCTCCGCGACTCCACCTCGGCTGCAGCGGTAGAGGGTGCGGAGTGGTAGTGCGGCGGAGGGTACTCGCTGCAGTCCACCAGCACACATCCGAAGTGGGCTCCCCAAGCCCACTCGGAGTGGCCACCTCAGGCCGGCCCTTCACCTCGGGCCAGCCACGTGGGTTCCTCTTTGTTCACCGTGGGAGACCAAGCCACGGCTAGTAAGCCCCCCCTCCACGACAAGGCGGGAACCCGTTCGGGGGGGTCAACGCACAGCCTGCATTTTGATTTTTCACCGAGAGATGTAGATATCTATGGTCACAGCATCCACTTACTGACTGGACTGTATGCTCGCGTGTTACCCTCATGCTATAGAAAAATAGGATCTCTACCACTCTCCTATTTTTGCAAACAAAAGGCAGTGCTTGGACTGCTGTATTCCCAAATTGAAAAGTACAGAGATCTTAGTTCACGGAGATGAAAACGAGTCTGTAGCGCTGTTTGAAGTTTATTGCAGGTGTTTATGGACTGCAGTATTCACTTACCACAGGTTGACTATAAGTTCGTTAGTCACCTCAGTTTTAGATAAAAAAAAATACAATGCATACAGCGAGTGAAACACTCTTAGCTGTGGCAGCTCATTTATGTTGACTTTCTACGAGCGCGTACAAAACCCCTGCTTCAACGAAGTGAGTATGACTCATTCATCATTGTAATAGTGGGGATAAGCGGTCCACTATTAACAGACTCCGAGTGGTTTAGTGGTGGAGAAATTAAACTACTTTTTTTGGTGTGCCGACGAATGGAGTATGGAGTGAATATATCGAATGTGTAATTTTATGTCGACCCAGCCTACATTTATATGTCCGGCTACGTCGTTAGTTAACCAATAGTAACAATTTTTATTTGCCTAGCCAATAGTACATACATTATGACCAATAAAGATTATTTAAAATACAACTATTATGTACGTTCCATTTGTCGGCGTGAGACCTATGCAGCCCCTATCCACACTCGCTATAGTGTGCGCAGACCGAGAAACTCTCTCTCGGACCCCCCCCCAACAAGCTTTCGGCTGACCTGAACTGCCTCGTGGCGGCTCAGGCCGAGCCTACATAACACATCCCTTAATCTGCCTTAGTAAGGCACTCTTCTAAGCGGCTTTTCACCGCATGCGCCCTCTTTTCTGCCAAGAAGGGTCGCGTTCGTATTCGGCTTAGAGATCTCTAGTCAGATCGTTAAGCCAATTCCTAAAAGGCGGTGTTTAGTGGGTAAAAGTCTCCACATAACCACGCAGCCGGCTGCGTGGTATGCTATGAGCATTCACCGCCTCCCTCCCCCGCTTTCCGGAGGGTTGCTCATATTTGCTTCGGGCGCAAAAAAAAAGCGCGCGCGCGTAGTCGGCGAGCGGCGGCGGCGTGGGACACAGCTCCGGAACAGCAAGAAGAAGCGAGCTGCGGCGTTGAATAAACGGCTTCAAAATGGTCGACGGATACATAACGATAGCGGCGTGTGAAGACGATGTGGCGCTGAATGATATTTGCGGCTGTTTCTTGTTTCTTTATTAGAACGTTAAATATATACGTCAAATTATCTCGCATCAATATGCAGCCCGCAGTATCTCAGTAGCCGGGGATAGTTAGGAAATAAATGTTTTCTTCGCCTTCTGTGTTATAGCACAATAACAACATGCCCGTAGAATATGCAGTATTACTCAGACACTGCCTTACATCTGGTTACCTATTGTGGAAGGAGGAGTTCTACAAGCAAGTAGATGGTGTGGCGATGGGCTCACCTGTATCTCCCATTGTCGCCGACATATTCATGGAAGACTTTGAGGAGAAAGGCCTGCTTAGTTCTCCCATAAATCCAAGGTTCTACAAGCGGTACGTAGACGACACTTTCACAATTCTACCTTTAGATAAAGTAACTGCATTTTTAGACCATCTTAACTCTATAAATTCTAAAATTCAGTTCACAATGGAGTTAGAGGCAAACAATTCCTTAGCTTTTCTAGATGTGTTAGTAATTCGGAATCCTGATAACACCTTGAGCCATACTGTGTATAGAAAAAAGACCCATACAGATAGATATTTAAACGGTGATTCTCACCACCATCCTTCACAGTTAGCTACCGTGGGTAAATCTTTGTTTCAGAGAGCACGAGGGATCTGTGACAGTAAACACCTGGCTGCAGAGCTCCACCATGTCAAGCAAGTTTTGCATGACAACAAGCTTCGAGTCCCGCGCCTACTTCACAGTGAACGAGTGAAGCCGGCCACAGTCGAGCGTGTACCTGCTGTACTGCCATACGTTAGAGGAGTCACTGACAAGATTGGCTACATCTTGAAGCGCGCTTCCATCAAAACATACTTCAAGCCGCTGAAGAAGATTGGTCAGTTTTTACCATCGGTCAAGTGTAATGTCCCTCTGCAAGATGCAGGAGTGTACAAGCTTGATTGTGAATGTGGTCTCTCCTACATAGGACAAACTAAAAGATCAATAAAAACCCGCGTTAAAGAACATATAGCTGATGTGAAGAATCGACGCTCCGGGAATCTGCAGTCTGTGAACACGTACAGGATCGCCCCCGTCACTACATCAGATTTGATAGACCACAGATCCTCGCTAAAGAACACCGATTCCTTCCAAGGATGATTCGCGAGGCTATTGAAATCAAAAAACATCCTAATTTCAATAGAGAAGATGGCTGGGTGCTACCATCTGCTTGGGATCCTATAATAAATAAAATTAAATCCCAACCCAAGCATACAACTGCAAGACTTCAAGATACCATAAGTTCATACTGCATAGATCGGAACAAAAGTTAAATTTTAATCTATGGTAACTACGGTTAACTATGACATATGGACGTTGAACATCTCAGTCCTGCCCGTGACCATGAGTGCTGTAAAGCGTTCGAAACGTCGGGTATTTAAAAAGTTAAAATATACGCGATAAATTCCGTAAAAACTAGTATTATTTCAATGGGTAGTGAACATTTTTATGCTGCCACTACGCGGTAGTGCCGCGTCCCGTGTCCTGTCTCTGTACGTGCGTGCGTGTATATGCGCACGTGCGTGCATGTGTATGCGTGTGTGCTTGCGTGTCTGTGTGTGTGTGTGTGTGTACGCGCGCGCGCGCATGTGTGTGTTTGTGATTAGCAAAACAGAGCGAATTCGATCGTCGAGGTAGTGGTTCACAGAAAACCAACTAAAAAAAAGCAGTATACAAAAGGTGTCCAGTTCCGAGTGGATGTTGAATGTGTTATTATTGCTAGCTGCTAATAGAGCGAGTAGTTTCGAATAACATTTCCAAATTCCAAATTGGAACGTAATTATAGTAGCAGTTTATTTTAAATTAAAGCAACATAAATGGTAACACAATGAACTTCACTGTACTGTACTGTGTGGTGTCAATACTTACGGTCATTATTGACTTGTTCCTCAATAACTTCAATTCGTAATATAACGCACAATTCCGCCAGGGTCTCCAGGTGGTTAATGTGTATTATTTGCGGCCGCAGAGTTTCGTACAGTCCATTACACAGCGATTGGAGATATTCACTGTAGAAAGTAATTTAATATTAAATAAATATTATATAATAAAGAGTAAGATTCAATATTAAACACACGGTGAAAATCAAACTTTAGCGGGGGAATATGTAACTACATATTATAGATTAAAAACTGCGATTCTGCTATATGTTGCTACCAACATTGAGTCCTCAATTACCGTAATACCAATAGACATTTCGTAGTGAGTATGTAAGGTTTGGTTAGGTGTAAGTAAGTACCATACTATGGGGTTTTAGCCGATGCAAGTGAGACATAACCCGTCCTTGCCCCCACGAGGCGGGTATGTGTAGACATTTCCCCATGTAAAAAACAAGTGAAAGTACTTATATAAATTCATCTCTCAATATCTTCTTTGTATATTTTATCTATATTCTTATATAATTATATCCGACGGTAGCTTAATGATTAAGGGAATTGAAAGAAAAACGCAAAAATCGTTCGAATGGGCCAGTCGATCAAGTGAAAACCACTTCTATTACATGTATTTTAGGTTATTTGTAGTGGTTAATGGAGTATAAGTAGTGCTGTAAGTATTCATATAAAAAATAAGTCAACAGATGGAAAAGCCTCTCTAATAATGAGCCAATTGGCAGATATTCATGTTTTTCTAAGGTTGGTAAGAGCCGCTATCCTCGTACTGATAATGCCGATTCCTAATGTCAGTTTAGGACATTTTGGTTTAGCATTTTGGATGGCATTTTCACCATTAATAGGTCCTGCCTATAGATGTGAAAGCGTTTGTCAACGATTTCAACTGAGCTGATAACAACGGTTGTTTTCGTTTTCAACGGTTCACAACCGCTTTTGATGGCTAATGAAATGGACAAAACATTTTTTTTGTGCAATATATTTTTTCTATTCGGTAATAAATAAACCACAGAAAGTCCTATAATATTATAATAGTCCATTTTTTTGAGATGTAAGTACACATTTGCACATTTTCAAAAAACTCCAGTACAACTTTGTCATTTATACAAAGTCTATGAAAAGTGGTATTTTGACTAGATGTAGAATCAATGTTTGTCACTACGGAACTCTTCATGGGCGAGCGAGTCCGACTCGCGCTTTGCCATTTTTTTTTCAACTTTTAGTTTTATTTTAATGCGGGCTCCAGACTCCGAAGTGATTCACGCCGTAATTTTGCCGCGAAGCCGTCGCGAAAAACATATCCCTCCACATTCGCTATCATTCACAGTTTAGTTCGCGCGCTCCTCGAGAATGGACGCCGAAATATGCACTGCTATCGCCGTGACGCTATTCGCTTTGGCTCACTGCGTATGCTGTGCTATACACACTGACCTCTATATATACAAGTACGCTGGACTGGCTATACCATACATAATGTCTGTGCCAATTTGAAGCACCCTAACGGTCGTCTTGGAAAATAAAATTGACATAATATGCCAAAGTCTGTTGTCTTATTTAAATTGTATTGTAAAATCTGTATTTTGAACCTTTAAACCAAAAAACGTAAGTATTTTATGTTGTTTGATTGTGTATAATATTAGTTACATAATAAGAATTATTTTTAATAACAATGAGAGTGTGCGTAATCTGTAAAACTCGTTACCAAAAGCGAAGTGGTATAACATTTCACAAGTAAGTGAATTTGCAGCTAATATTAAACAAATTAAAACTATTTAATAATATAAGTACTTAAAAATTTGTTACTAATCTTAATATCATATATATGTTACAGGAAATGTATGAATTCTAGGAATTGTATACAACTCCTAGGAAATGTATAAAATTGCGAAGCTATTTAGGAAATGTATAAAGTATTGATTCAGAGATTATTTAATACGCACATATATAATTTTATAGAATTCCAATATATTAGGAGATGTATAAAACAAACGCTATGTGTGAATAAAATAAATAAAACACGTTTTTAAATGAAGAATCAGAGTTTTTATTAATGGTCTCATTGAGACAATAAAGTAAGAATCATACGGTTTATAAATTATAATATCTTCATACTTCTTGATAACTTACCAAATGACACTTGAGCTTTATACGAAAATATAGTAGTTTTGTGATAAATCGACCCTAAGAATTAATAAATAGTTGATTTATTAAGCTTAAATTAGTATATTATATTATACCTTATGATTGTAACTTGTTAGTCTCAATGAGAGCCAAAATAAAAATTCTATTTCCTAAATTATCAATGATGCAATACCCTCCCCTCGATCCCCTCGCACCGCATGTCCACACGTATTCATTGAAATCTTAAATATTATATTACATTTCCTGTTTAGGAAATGTATAAATTTCCTAGGAAATGTGTCTAATATAATTAACATCATTCATTCACATTTCCGGGTGATTTTAGGAATTACATACAATTCCTAGGAATTGTACACAATGACGGATTTCATACATTTCCTGTAACATATACAAACATATTTGGCTGTATATTACTGAGTTTTGATAAACAATAAAATTCAATAGGGTTGTCGAGTTCCTTGTCTATAATACTTATCGATGTTTTTTCCTACCCATATCGGTTAACAAACAAAGTCACCAACAACAGATGATTTTAGCGTCAATTTGCGGCGGAGGTAGAACACCATGGTTTTAGTAAGTGCGAGTCTAGAGATTTAATTCTCTCTCGAGTCTCAAGATTTAATTTGTGCTTAAACTTCGTAGTGGCCCTAATTAAGTTTATTTCTTATTTACAAATTCTGGCCATCGTTTACATTCACGGTTTTTGACAGCTTCCTCTTCCGCAACATCCACCGACAAAGGCGATTAAGTGTTCGATCAAGAACCCATGGATTGCGATATGTCAAGCCCCCTAGAATACGTGGCACTACCGAAGCTGGAAAGCCTAGGAGGATAAACTTAGGAATGAGGATATCGGCAGTAGAACCAGAGTGACCGACAACGCCCAATGGATTAGTAAGCTGAAGTGGCAATTGACCGGCCTTCTCGAGTGGCAGCCTCGTACCGACAGGTGAAGTGTCGGAATTTCCCCTACTACATGGAGTGAAAACCTGGTAAACCATACAGGAAGTTGATGTATGCAGGTGGCTCAGGACCGTGCTTTGTGGCATTACTTGGGGGAGGCCTATGTTCAGCAGTGGACTTGTGAAGTACTTTAATGATGATGAATGATAGTGGCATTATATTAATATGATACATAAATAGAATGTACGTTACGAGTAGAGTCCATCTATCCATAGATTCCATTCCATTTATTTAGGTATTGGTAGGTTATAAAATTTTTATCGATATATTTGGTATAAAAATATAAAATATAAGCTTACTTTTTATATTAAAAATTTATATTTTTATACATTTTGTCTCACTGTCTTACCCTATTATTAGTTCCGTGGACGTGCAGTTCTGCTGTCAGCGCCAAAATGGGGCAAATCAAATTGCCTTATCATGTCAAGGTGTATAGCCAGTCCAGCGTACTTGTATATATAGAGGTCAGTGGCTATACACAGTTACGTGTATATAAATGATAAATAAAAGTATTTGTTTTTTTTTTACAATTATCTTATTTATATATACTAATTATCAATATTTTGCATTCTTCATAAAAAAGTGGCATTAATTTTTCAACGTGGTAGAGCCATGCTGCAATTATATCAGTAGTATAGTGTTACGAATGAAACGAATGATGAATGAAGGAGGGAAGGACTACGCTCTCACAGAATACCAGCGTAAAATAGTAGCTTAATGCTGCTGTTTCGTATTATGATGTAGAGAACCGGAGACCCTTTTTACTGTAAACGGAGCATTCCATCTTAATCCTCTCGGGTAACAACGCATCTGCATTTTGATTCGTAATCGGTGATAGAAGTAGATATGTCTATCGGCCACAGCAACCATTAACCATCAGATGGACTGTGTGCTCGTTTGTCACCCCACCCTATCATATAAAAAAAATTAAAAAATTTTGTAGTATAGAACAGAGAAGGGAAAAGACATACTCAGATAGTAGACCGTTTACGGAAAGAAAAATAAAAAAGTCTAGAAAAACAATCAGCACAAATTTTAATGTAATGTCTTTCAACTAATAAGTAAGTAATATTCAACAGTGCTAAAATAACATAGAGACTGAATAATACAATAAAATATACAAATATAACATTAGGTCTTTACCTATGTAATTGCGTTATTGTAGAACTTGCTATTTTAAACTGTAATACATACTAGGTTTGACTTGAAATTCTAAATTAAGATCGTTGAGCTATTAAGTACTAAGTACTAGAGGCGACACTGCATCTTCGTTACGCTGAACCACTGGCGAAGCCTCTATAGAAGCCGAAAAGCCGGGCTTACCTTATCAAACTGAATCAATTAATAATATCAATCAGTAATATCAACTAATAAAATAACTCGTAAACTGTTTCAAACTATTTCAAATTTCCCGCGCACTCCACTGTTCGACACAGGTCGACCGATGACCTCGTATTGCCTTAGCGATACTGCTGCTATCATAAAAAATGAGTTTTAATAGAGCGATTAGTTGTCTCCCTCGCTCGCATGGGCTTTTTACGGGCTTTCGAGAAGACAATCGCTCTCTTTCTAACCTATGGCAAAATATTCTATAATGAAATATAACTAAGATTATATATATATCAATTAGTATAGAGAGTTAATGCCAGGCTTTAGGAATGAAGTTGTCGAGAGCGGAGGCGCGCGGCCAAGGCGTTTGCAAGTTCATTTCACATTTCAATGTTTATTTACTCTGTGTGTTTAGCGTAAGCGATTTTAATATTGCGAGTTGAAAATTTATGCGTTTTTAAAGATTTTTTTGTGAAAATGGAGGATAATAGTGTTCCTTGTGATGAATTGAAGTGTGTTAAAGTGCTAATCGGAGAGGAAAAGGTAAAATCTTTAAACTTTGTTGAGATAATACACAAGGTCAAGAGTGTATTTCAGGAGGATAAGTCGCTCGCGTCCGTAAGCTTTGACCACCTAATCCTAGGCCCACCCTACACGTGTCCCCCGGGTGGTGCTAAATGAGCGAC